AGGTGGAGGGGGTTGGGTGTAGTCCGATACACGCTCGCTCATCCGAAAAGGAGGAGAAACAGCCGAGAAATCACCAACTCAATCATGGGGGGAGGATTCCTACCAGCTAACGACGAAACTGGTGCTGTAAGTGTTATCACTTCGCGACTGCTTCGCGAACGCCTCGCAGTGAGTCGGCAACTGTGAGACTGTCTTGGCCACTGAGATGGGGGCCCCGAGAACATAATATCCCTTCTGCCCACACCCCCAACCACTGGCAGTCGCTTGTGCCGTCCCGCCCTGTCGGTCAGCCACAACGGTTCCTCCCTCGCCTGAGCTGAAGATGCATATGCCACTCCTGGCATTCGTGTTCCCTGCCCTCTTCTCACTGGCAGCCATCCGCAACGCCACCGAGAGGGAGCCCAGGCCACATTCGCATTCGCATTCGCATTCGCCCTCTCTCTCATTCCAGCGCCACAACGCCGCCGCCCGGCTCAACTATGGGATCAACGACACGAGCCCTGAGCGGTCCGCGGAGCTCCACGACTTCTGGCAGACTCACTACCAGCCGTCCATCCACTGCAGCAACGAGAGGCGGCTTGGCGGCGATTTCTTCAATCAGATGGATGGAGGCAAATGGGTGTGTGAGCCGTCTACTTTGGCAGATCAGGGGGAGAGGTGCCTCGTGTACTCGTTCGGGAGCAACAACGACTGGACCTTTGAGAGTGCCGTCCTGAACACTGCCCCGGGGTGCGAGATACACGTCCGTAAGAGAGTCTGCAAAGATGATATGGGTGTCCCACGCCACGGCTATCAGTCTCTTTTGTCCTGTGCTGTGCAGACGTTCGACCCCTTTATCTCGGCCCCCTCCTTTGCCCCGGCAGGTGTCCATTTCCACCGATATGGCCTCGGCCACTTCTCCCTCCCCGCCCCATCCAACGACCCAAACCTCACCCTCACCCCCACGTCGCCGCAGCTCGTCGGACTGCCAGCCATTGTCCGGGCACTCGGCCACGAGGAGCGGACGATAGAGTTGCTCAAGGTGGACATCGAGGGTGGCGAGTTCGAGGGATTGGGAGGGGGCAGGTGGCCGGCGGTGAGAGAGGTGGAGGTGGAAGTGCATCTGATGGGCCGCTGGGGGGAGAGAGACGCCGACCTGCTGGTGGGGGGCATCGAGGGTCGGGGCTATCGGTTGTTCCACAAGGAGGAGAATGCCTTCGGGACCTGCTGCTGCGAACTGGCCTTTCGCATGGCACCTCGATAGACACCCACCACTGACTGCGTCACCGCACAGGGGGTGTAAGAGTGTGTGTGTGATTGGTTGATGCCATCTATCTGCACGGATGGGCGGGCAATGTTGTGCGTGTGCATGTGCATGTCTGTGTGCGTGCATTTTCGCACCGACAGCCGACATTGCAGTCGTTAGGTAAGGAGCAGAGGTAAGGGATATGGATTGAACCAACCAATCAGTGTGCTGCTTGTCCGTGTCCTCGTCAATCCCATCCATCTGTGTCGGCACGACAGAACAGACAGGGACCCTGTCTGTCTTGCCTGTCTGCCTGCCTGCTTGGGCGGGCGGGCGCTACATATGTACTCTTGACTTAACGAATGAATCACACCAACAGCCAGGGCGCGTCTAGGTAGGTTTGTACACAACAGAGTACGCCACCCTCACGTCTACTCACGGACAGCACGCAGGCTCTCGCACACACACACACACACACACACACACAGAGAGAGAGAGAGAGGGGGAGAGAGAGAGAGAGAGAGAGGGCCGGCAATGTCCCTCTCATCGTGCGCCAGCCATCAACTGAGTTGACATTCCAATCAAATGTCAGATAGCATCACTGCCACTCGTTACCATTCCCAGCAGATAGACGTGTCTCTCTGGAGCCTCATCAGCCCGCCGCGGCATTATGAGTGAGCGCCGTCACGGAGAAGTGTGCGAGAGGTGATGCCCCCTTGCTATCGGGAGCGTCACTACTCACACACCACCGGGTGACGGGGGTCACTCACATCACCCGGGCGGCAAACAAACAAACAGGTCGATCATCTCAAATTGCAGCTCCCCTGTCCTCGTCTTCCTTCTCGGTCGGCAAGAATGGTTGGTTAGATAGGCACAAACAAAAATATAACACACACGTATTGCGCGCACGTACGAACGTCCCCCATACGTGACGTGTGTCGGTCGATCCATCGAGTGCAGCTAGCTGCGTACATTGAATGAAGCAACCCACCCAACTCAGTCTGTCCGCCGAATCACCCACGCCACGAAACAAACGCTTCAAAAAGGCGGGCGTGTTTCTCTCCCTCTCTCTCTCTCCCTCCCTTGTAAGTAAGCGTGTGTGAAACAAAAGGACAGACATCTAAGCAAATGGCTTTCGGGCTGGGGGTCCGCCCGGCCCGAAAGGTGTGCATCCATAACGTGGTTATGATGCGGTGCTGCTGTCGGTCGGTCGGTCGGTCGGTCGGCCGGTGTGTGGAATCACCCCAACCGACCCACCCAACTCCTCCAGGGGGTCGGGGCCTCCCACACGCACACGCAAACAGCAAATGAATGCCATGCCGCCTGTCGCGTGTCGGTCGGTGTCTGCCTGTGCTGTACACGTGTTGGTTTGTTAGCTAAGGTAATATATAGGTGGTGGATAGGATAGGCCTAATAGGATAGGATAGGTGGCTGCAGGGCCTCCCCCTCCTCCACCCGCCCCTGTCCCCCCTGGAGGCAGGCACCGCTTCCAAGCCAAGCCCGGCCCGCCCATCCCTCCCTGTAATGTGAACCACCCAGCTGTCCTCTGTACATCCCATACACACATTCAATAGCAAGTAGATCGACTCAATTAGGCAGGCACACATCAGCAGTGACGGACCGAGAGAGAGAGAGAGAGAGAGAGCATAGAGAGAAGGTAACACAGAAAGGTAGTTGGTGTGTGTGCGTATGCAGAGACAGAGAGAGAGAGAGAGAGAGGTACGAGTGTGGCCATGCTCCCCTGTGCTATCGCAACTCCAGGTTAGCGATGATGGTGTCGGCTAAGCCATCGCCCGCCCTGCAGAACTCCCGGGCCTCTATGTGACCTGAATGCATCAGATAACGCGGGAAACAAAAGCGCATGGATGTGTGTGAAGGGGTGGGTCTCTCCAACTGTCTGTCTGTCTGTCTGACCGTTTCCATCGGCATCGAAGTCATCCCACAGCGCCATGACGAGGTTGCGGCAGTTGTACACCCGCTGAATGTCCTTGTGCATCCGAAACGTCTTGACCAGCGCACGAACCACCTCCTGCACACGGTGTCCACACACAACACACACACAACCAAGAACCTTGAACCAACACGATCTGTCCATCCCCACCACTCTTGTTTGCTGCGTACCTCTTGTTCGAGTGTGCCGTTGTTGTCCTCATCCCAGTATCTGAACCAGTCGAGGCGGTGCGTCTTGAGGTCCGGCGGCCGTGCCTCGCCGCGGTGCGGCAGGGTCCGGCGCACATAGGCCACCAGGCCGTTCTGCGGGTCCATCATCTCGTTCATCTCTATCGTACCGTTGCCGTCACGATCCTACACTCACACACACACACACGACGGACGGCCAATCCACACACACACGCGTGTGTTTGTGTGTTTGTGTGTGTGTATGTGGATCGTGGGAAGCTTAGCGTACCCATCTGCCCCAGAACTCGGGTAGCTTGTGCTCGAGGACCTTCCAGTCGATGGGCAGCGCCGCCTTGAGCACCTCCACCACCTCCTTCTGGTCCAGATGGCCGTCGCCGTTGAGGTCAACCAAACGGAACCAGCCGCGGGGGTCGCGGCCGACGTCCGGCACCGGCTGTTTATGTCACAGACAGACGACAGACAAACCGAAGGGATGGATTAGCGGTGCCGGACGCATGGATGTTTTGGTGGATATATGTGATCTCGGTACCTGGAGTGCATCGAAGTCGGCCCTGCACACAGGGCACTGGCGAATGCCACTGTTGAGGAAGTCGATACTACACCTGAACCAACGACACGACACCACCAGTGATGGAGTGACGCGCCCGACGCGTTTATTTTCTCTGTCCAGCCATCCATCCATCTGTCTGTCTGTCTGTCTGTCTACCTGGTGTGGTAGAAGTGAGTGCACACCCGTTTGCCCCTCCGAGTCAACACACTCAGCTCCTCCTGGCAGACAGACCACACACACACACACACACACTCTACCAAAGTGACAAAACGCCGTGTTGTTCCCTCCCTCGCCCTCCTCACCTTGTACAGCTCATTGTAGCAGATGGGACACTCGGCATACTCGGCATTGGCGTCACGGTTGGAGCGGTTCGAGCTGACAGACATGGCGCCTCTGCTGGGACCCGTCGGCGGCGCCAACAACCCCGGCTGACCGCTCGGTGGCATCGCTTCGGGGTTGAAGGCCGGCGGCGCCATGCCGCCTACCGGTGAGCTGCCCTCGTCATAGGGAGGCGGCGGCGGCTGGTTGTGGTGCATCTGGCTCAGACGGCGGTGGGTTGGCGGGTGCCACATGGCCGGGTGGGACTCTTGAATCTCGGATGAGCGCGTGGAACTGCCAAACGACCTGGGGAGGCTCTCAGTTGGCACAGCTTGAACCTCGGCTGTAGGAGAGGAGTCAGAATTGCCCATAGGGACGGCTCTGTCGTGAAGCGGAGATCTGCGAGCTCATTACACGGCTCGCACGCAATCTAAGCTCGCCTTGAGTTTCGAGGACATCTGCGGCTCTCTGGCGGCGGGCGTCTATCTATCGCCCCGACTCACTCATCGACTCTCTCTCAGTCATCTTTGTGTCGATGTTCCTGGATCTGAATGTGTGTTGGCATGCCGACAAGGCGGCTCATCTGGCGGCGGCGGCCATCTCTTTGGGCTACGGCGGCGTGGCCTGGAACCACACAGTCGACTTATCGACCGTCAAGCAGACCGACGGCAGGTCAGCTATGGTGTGTCCCATCAGAGAGGTGGCCATCAGCAATGAGGCGCTGCTCAGCCGAGTGAGCTCATTCCGGGTGCTATCATCGCTCGAGGATCTCAATCTGAGTGCGTCGGCGTCTTCGCGAGTGGGCTTTGTGCAGCTGCGGCGTCTGACGTGTGTCTTCAGCCACCCCAACCAGGTCACTCAGATCAACCAAATCAGCCGGATGTCTGTCAACGGCGACAGAGAGGGCGGCGGCTATGATCTGCTGGCCCTGCAGCCGACCGACGAGAAGGCCTGGCTGACTGTCTGCCAGTCCTGCGACTGTGACATCGTGTCGCTCGACTTCACCAGCGGCAGAATGCCTTTCCCCATTCGCCGAGCTCAGCTGGGCCTCGCCGTCAGGTAACCACCACACACGAGTCGCCACACAAGTCACTGTGTGTGTGTGTTCAATCAGCCGCGGGATGTTCTTTGAGATTCAGAGCGGGGCGGCTTTGCGCGACAGCACCGCCCGGCGGAACCTCTTTGCGAACATCCAGTCGTTAGTGCGGTTCGTGCCGATGACCCGCATATTGCTGACGAGCGGGGCCTCGTGTGGGCTCGAGCTGCGGGGGCCCTATGACGTGGCCAACCTGGCGGCCGTCATGGGAATCGGCAAGGGGCCGCTGGCCTGCAAAGCGTGTGTGAGCGATGTGCCTCTGGCCGCCGTACACAAAGGTCAGTCAGCCGGCACACACAGAGGCG